GATTAAATGAGTGTGTGGTCAGAATAAAAGAACAAGTGAAAGAGAGAGAGAGCTACCCATCACCTTTACATTATTCACGTTAACTATTAATATAACTTCAGCCTTCCTGAAGTTTCTGGTGTAACTGTATAACAGTATTTCCTTGTATAAAACTCGTCCTACACACTCACATATATACCAGCACTACACAGCATGAGGCTGCATCTTCCACTCCAGCAAATGTTTCACAATAAAAACCTTTGAATAACAAAAGAATGGATTCACTCAACAGAAACGCCTGAGTGCTTTTATTTTGAAAAAGCGTCCGACAGCTAAACAACAGATAAACATGGAAACTGTCTTTTCTCTGTTTTCCGATTTTGAGACGTTGAATCTCTCGAAGAGCAGAAAAAGATTCTGAAGCTCAGATTTCACAACTCGTCACTGAAGCTCTGAACATTTTAATATTTATTCTCACTGGATCATCAGCTCCGAGTCGTTTCATCACGTTTCAGCTCTTTGTGTCAAATATCTCGAGTGTGAACTTTGAAGACAAATAAAAAAAGATGACAGGAACTCTGTCTCCAGCCTCCAAAGTGTCTGTCCTCGTGGGACTCAAACGTCTGCAGAAACATTTCACTCGTTTGTCCGGAGACTCGATCACGTGACGTAATGGTCGACTGCGTCCCGACTGTCCCACATCAACACGTCCTCATTCAGCATTGAACATCTCTACGTCCTCTTGACGTCCCTGCGCCGCCGCCTTCTTCTTCTTCTCCTTCTTCTTCTGTGGCGGCGCTGCTGCTTCCACTGAGGACGACACAAGAATGAAAGTGGATCTAGACTCAGCCACGTGTTGATTCGTCAGCTCTTACCTTCCATCCCGCTCTTCTCCTGCTGCATGTGCATCAGCTGTTTGAGCAGCTTCCGTTTCTTCTTCCCCGACAAAGTGATGTTCGCCCTCGGACTCGACCTGAAACCGTTTCAAGTGACGGGAATCAAACCAGAGACACGGGATCTGTGGCGCTCCTCGCTTACTAATCCGCTCAGCAATAAAATGAAACATATAAAAACTATTCATATATTTATGTTAAATTCAAAGAGTCGTTCTCTCACTTCCTCTTCTTCAGGTGATGGACGGTGATCAAACCCTCGTCGACCACGGCGCCGACGATCTGACGCTTCTTCTTCTTCTCTCGACCCAAAACTCTGCGCCGCTTGAAAAGCTTCTTACCCAGTTCCTGAAAAAACATCAGAGCCAAGAGATATACTCCTGTAAGTACATCAAGTACTGCAACTACATGAGGTACTGCTACTGAAAGAGACGAGATATACTCCTGTAAGTACATCAAGTACTGCAACTACATGAAGTACTGTAACTACATGAAGTACTGCTACTGAAGGAGACGAGATATACTCCTGTAAGTACAT